AAAAAAAAAAAAAAAAAAAAAAAAAAAAAACATTATTCATCAATCAGAACTCTTTATAAACTGTATAAACTTGTGGTTAATATATTTGTCTTTGTCATGTGATAACATTTACTTTTATTCTTCAATTTCTTTTTTAAATTGTATTTTTTTAATTGAAGTAACATTGTGTGCTAACATACATTTCAGTGATGTAACATACATTACATCATTGAGATAGAGCATGTATATGTACGACATTAAAGTCACCACTAAAAGTCCAGTTCTATTCCTCAACATACCATTGTCCGCTGTTTCCTGATTTACCTACCCTTACTCCCCCTTCCCTTCTGGTACCAAATAAATATTCTTATAGTCTGAAAAATTTTTTTTCTTTTATTTAGTTAATTTTAGTGTTTTCTCTCTATACTATGTATGAGGGAAATTACATGGAATTTGTCTCTCCTCTCTGTATTATTTAACTAAGCTTAATTTCTCTTGGTCCATTTATGTTGTTGTAAATGGCAGGATCTCATCTATGTATTTACCTGAAGTATACAAAAATACTGATTTAAAGATAAGTCTGTGTGTATGTATATGCATCCCCATGTTTATTGCAGTACTATTTACAATAGCCAAGACCTGGTGGTAATGATGTGGATGTCTATAACTGATGACTGAATAAAAAAGACTAGGTGTTTACACAATGGGGTATTACTCAGTTACTCTTCTGTTTTAAAGAAGTGTTAAATCCATGTCCCTATTTGGTTTGGAGAAACTTAACTAGGGAGTTAAGGAAGGAATCACTCAATTTGGTGTTTATAAATTAGAGATCATCAGACATTAATGATCTAGAATTGATAGGTGAACTGTGTCATTTTGATCATTTCAATCTAATTACACCTTATTTTGTTCTGTTTGCAGGTAGGCATTTAGATAAGGATATCCTTAAGCAACTATTTTTAGCTACTGTGACAGAAAAAGAAAAGCAATGGACAGCAGATTTCAAAGAAGATCAAGTTTGTCTATAATACTTGAAGTATTATCAAAAGAATTGGATGATAAAATTGGTGTATTTCAATCATCTCTTTCCATTATTGGATGATAAAATTGGTGTATTTCAATCATCTCTTTCCATTATTTCTGTTATGAATTCGATTATACTTTTAAATATTTATTTTTTAGAATACAAAATAGTAAATCACTGTTGTAAAACATTTGACATCACATAATAAAATACATCCTCTGAAGTATATATGTATGTATGTAGCTTTCATAGACATTTCTTCACAAAGAATCAGCTTTGGAGCTTCATGTACTGAATTGTTCACCCTTGAAGTTATTTGAGATAATGTTAAAAACTTATATTAACATTATCGTTTTTCCTTAAAACCTCAGTTGAGTGCATAGCTTTTGTTAGTAACAAAACGTTTTAGAACTCTGTCATCACAAATAAAAGGTTTGTTGTGGCTACAGACTTATTAGTGGAATAGGAATCAAAGAAATTAATAAGAACCATTTCTTATTATGAATCAATTCTAAGCTTACTGGTAGTCAGTGTAATGAAATTTCAGGCATTCACTTTGCAATATATTTAGAAGATTCCAGTTAGAACTTCAAACTAGATTTTACTACTGGTATTAAATTCATCTTGGGTTTTTTTTCTTTTTGGACTTCTCTGATTTTCAGAATGAGCTAAAAATTGGAAAGAAAGTATAAAACTTTATATTTGCAGGTAATTTTGGATAATTTAACAGTCTTCATCTAAATGTACAATAGCTTTTCTTCAGGCCAGCCTAACTATTTAAGTTGTAAGAGAAAAGTATTAAGTGTCATTTAGGGAACTTTCCCAAGCTGGTGATGGTCAAATATCAGAGAAAGCTATCAAAACATCTTTTTGACTTTTCTAGAATTTTTAAATTTAAAATATTACACCTGTGAACATTTAATGTTTCCAGTGGTTGGAGGCAGACTAATTGATTAGATTAACTGTCTTCCTTGTATTCTGTATCTTTTTAATGTAAATTCTTTCACTTATCCTTTTGCCCTTTGAATCCATTCTCTTAAAGTTGAGAGAATATTTATTTCTTATTTCATTGGTAGCAAGTTGCCCAAAGAAATTCCAGCTGGTTTTTTCAGTCAAATCTAGGCTTTCATTCCAGTCTTACTGTTTCATGGGTGTATAATTTTGGGCAAAGTATTTTCTATATTACTTTACCAATTATCAACTGAACAGTGATAATACTAGTCTTAAAGGTTCTTTTAAGGACTAAATAGTTTATGAGGCACCCAGCTCAGCTTCAAACAACCAGTAGAGCCTAGATAAATGTTTTCTTTTTTTATTTTTTAACAATTTGTTTTATAAAAAATGTGGTAGCATTAATACTTAGTAATGGTTTTTGCCAGTTAAGTGTTTCAACTCATCTGTTCTACATCATGAAAAAAGTACTTATCCTGTTGTGAGAGAAATGTTTAAAGGTGTATTAATCTATATTCTTTAAGATCTGTGTTTATAAAATTTAGTTTTATAAACTTTTTCCTTTAAAATGTTTTAAATTATTCTTAAATGTTTTTCATTAGATAAAATTGTATTTGTGTTGTGAAAGTACAACCATTAGAGATGAAGTGAGTCTCCATTTTCTCTTTTAATCATTGTCTCTTCATAGAGATAAGCGGTGTTGTCAGTTTAATGTGTATGCTTTTAGATATTTCTTGTCATGTACACACATATTATGGTTAACATTATTTCCTTGAGTGGATTTTTCCCCCACTATTAGGGTCATAGTTTCAACTGTTTCTTTAGGAAATTTATGAATTCACCATGAATATACTCAAAGAAAGGTTTTATTTTTGTAATATATGTGTTTTAAATAAAACATCATTATATATTATAGTGTTAGTTTGCTTTAAAAAAAAAAAAAGAAAACTCAGCTATTAGTCTTAAATCTTTTCATGACAGTGCCTAAAAATATAGCTTGTTATTTAACTGCTGTATAGAAGTTCATTGTATAGCACAGATACATTCACTTTTTAAGAAAGCATTTGTTAAGGGCTTTCAGTTTGCCCAGGTATTAGTGCTGGAGCTGAATCTGCACATGGCATAGTAGGGCCAGTTCCTGTACTGTGTACATTTTGGTGGAGTGGTATCTGTAGATAGGAAAATATGAGGTAGCCCTAAGTAAGCTAATGAGAATAAAGACTGACTTTAGTTTGAGTGGTTACAGAAAGCCTCCGAGTTGTGGTGACTTTTGAGAGTGAAATTAGGAGTCATTCATTCACAGTTGGGGAGAAGATTCTATACAGTAGGGGACCCTTTAGGACACTGCTGTAAGAAGGTTAGAAAAGTAGGATGTGCTAATGTTGACATCGTAAGTCAGGGCTGTTATTTATTGCTCCATGGGTTAAAACAACATTGACTATTTGTAATATTCAAGAAGTGACTAAAGGGAAATGAAATATTTTCCAATGAGCAGAGCCATTATTGGCTTAACTTTCAGAGGAAACTGCCATAAATATCCTGAAGTTTGTATTTTTCTAATACAAATCATAAAGTAACATAGGCCATTCTGCATTCCATAGAAGAATGGCAAAGTATTGATGATTGTGAATGTTTGGACATATCTCATCAAGACTGTAGTTTACTGAGTGATACAGAATAAATCACTAAATCGCAGCCTTTATCTCATTCATAAAATGGAGATATTGCAAATTTCTCTGGGTTATTCCAGGAATTAAATGTAAAGTGGGCCAAATAATGTCTCAGTAAATGTGAATTCTCCTTTTCCAGGAAAACCTGACCAAATATTTAAGCTTATACAAACCTTCAAATAATGGTTTTTCCTAAGTTTTTCTCAGCTTTTAGTCAAATGAGAAAGAATTTTGGTAGTGGATTTAAGAAATTTATTGAAAGCGTCAGCACAGGATGAGTGTGGGAGTAGAGGAATCACTTCCTAAATCATGAAGTTTGAAGGGTATTGACAAAATAAAGCTAAAGAGTTTTTTTTTTAATAATTAAAAATACAATAATTTAGATGCTCAATTACTACAAATTGAATATTATTCCTTTTGGGTTTATTTTTTTTTTTTTAGTGTAGGTGGGAAAACTATAATTTTAGATGGTTTTGAATGGCTTCCCCACTTCACGAAATTACCATCCATTGTGGAAATAATGTTGAAAGAAATTAATTCTATCTTTAAAAATCTACCATCTTGTACTTTTAAAAATATATGTAATAGTTTATTTTTACATAATTTTGTGCATTTTTTCATCTCAGTTGTAACCCCCATCATTTTGTTGTACTTTAATGAAAAAAGATATGTTAGAGTTTCCCCTCAGATTTAGTCTTAACATTGAATCATCTTTACCCTTTAGCTGTTAATAACCAAACTATTTTTAATTTTCAGAGTGAAATAGAGAAATCAGGTATTGGTTCTGTAGGTTAGTTAAGAAAGCTGATTTTTCAAAGCAGGATGGTGTTTTGGTAAGCCCTGATTTAGTCAGAAAAAAAAATCTATTCAGAATTAGGGAGGAAGTAATCACATGCTGTAATAGAGTCCCCATTCTTCACTTTGCGCCCCATGTTCCTTTTGCAGGAGCTACAAAGTAAACCTTTTGATTCTTTTTTTTTTCTTTTAGATTTATATATTTGTGCATACAGAGCTGGGGTACAGGCCAGAGGCTCAGGGGTGGTGAGAGGCTTCTTCAGAGACAGAGTGGGGAACAGAACAGGCAGATTGACGAAGTACACTGCTGAGGGGAGCAGCGGGTGGGTCAGGAGAGGTCTGCCGCGCCATGTGGTCACCTCCGGGACAGGTGGGAATTGAACTCATGCGGAAGCGGCTTTGGATTCTTAGTGCTGTGCTTTAACCCGCTGCGCCATCAGGGAGGGCCGTAAACCTTTTGATTCTTAAGGCAACATTAAAGGACCAGAGGAAAATGATATAAGAAAGAATGCCTTTCTTTTGATATTTAGAGTGATAATGCCACAATAGAGTTGTTCCAAAACATTCGACCTAATTTTCATTGATACAACTCTTTGTTTTTATATCAATGTGTTTTTAAAATAACTTTAGATGTGAGTCATATACCCAAATGTACCCTTTTAAGCGTGCAGTTAATGGCTTCAGTCTATCCATAGGCAACCACCACTGCTATCTAATTCCAGAACATTTTCATCACTTCCAAATGAAAGTCTGTATCCAGTGGAAGTTACTCCTTATTTCTTTCTGCCCCTAGCCCCTTCACTTTGGACCCCTCAGTTAATGAAATGTTTTCATTATGTAGCTGTGCCAACACTTTGTTCCTTTTATTATTTATTTACTGCTAAATAATATCCTATTATCCACCACATTTTGTCTATCTACTCATCAGTTGAAGGACATTTGAGTTCCTACTTTGGCTATTAGTTCCTTTTCCCCTTATACTTCATTTTCTTATAATTAATGGAATGTTTTTTCAAAAACATTTATTGAAAAAATGAGATTAAGAAAATTCCTGTTTGTCCCTTTACTTTCTCACACTTACTATCTTAGAGACTATTTATTATAGTTAGTGAACCAATATTGATATTAACTAAAGTCCATAGTTCATTCAGATATCCTTAGTTTTTTGTTTTAATTTTTAAATTTTCTGTTTTCTTACATATTCATTTTTGCTCAATATTTGATTTTTTTCCCCTCAGGTAGAGTCCTCATAAATCTCCCACCACCACATTAACTGTGAACCATCACTGTAGTCCCTGTTTTGACTGCTCTCTCTCCCAAATAGCCTTAGTTTACCTAGCATGCTTTTCTGTCCAGGATCCCATCTAGAACACCACATTACAATTAGGAATCTTCTTAACCTCTACTTAACTGTTTCTTAGATTTTGCTTGTTTTGGTGATCATGGAGGTTTTGAAGGGTCTGGTCAGGCATATGCGGGATATACTTCAATTAGAATTCGATGTTTTTCTCATGATTAGTGTGTTGGGGAAGGGCTATCATTACCATTTTCATCACAGTATATACTATCAGTAAATAATGACTGTTGATGACATTGTCTATCTGATTACCTGGTGGTGTGTTTGTCAAGCTTCTTCCCTGTAACATCGCTCCCTCCCACACTTTCCACACTCAGTTTCTTGGAAGGAAGTCACAGTGCACTGCCTGCTGTAAGAGTGAGGAGACATACTCAAGAGCAAAGTAATTTATTTATTTGGAAGTCTTCTCTAAAAGGACTTTACTTTTCTCCCACTTATTGCCCATTTATTTTTATAAGTGTGGATACATAGATATTTATTTAATAGTTCGGTTTATAATCTAATACTACTTTATTTTATTGCTCAAATATTGTCAGCATTAGCCATTGGGGATTCTCAGTTGTTTCTGTACCCCATTTAACATACTTCTATAATGAGAGTTGGATTATTTTAGGTGCCCTTTTCTCTTCATTTTTAAATATGCCAAATCCCCATAGAAGTTGACTCTAGGAAAACTAACAATACCCCTTTTCCAGGTAATTTGATCCTTCTGTGGTAGAAGCAATGTGCCTTACCTGCAGGGGGTTAAGAGAAGGCATCTGGAATCTAAGGTTGAATAAGACATCTGTTCTGACCCTTCAGAGCTTAGTTTAGTTCCACAAGTACTAATTGCCACACAAGTCACACAAGTAGTAATTGGTAAATTCGGGATTCAAACACAAATCTATTAGGCTTAACCTCTTTTATTTGTCTACTTCAAACTACATAACTATTGAAACTTTAGAGGGAAAAGACTATAAAAACGTCTGTTGAGGAAGCTATTTCCAAATTTTATCTTGAAGAATTAACTACTCGAAGCTACTTTTTATCCTCAAGACATTAAGTGCCTTTTTATTGTATTTTGCTCTTTTATCTGGTTTCTGAATGTCTCATTGAAAATTCATTCTTTTACAAACTATGTGACAATCAAAGGCCTAAACAAAATTTCTTTTATGCTGTCTTTTTAGTAGATGCCACCTCAAATTATTTTCATAAGTAGATGGGCTTTAAGTTATGAATATAAACTGTGCTTTGGTGTTTTACCATAAGATCCTTATTTATATAACACAGGAGATTATATTCCACTATACTGCTATGTTAGTCTCTGAGCTGGTTTAAATGAAGTCAGTCTAAAAGTCTTGCTACTTCCAAAGATGTCAAATGAGTTAAGCAGAACTTTTCTGTCACGCTTTTCCTCACCACTATGGGAAATGTACAGTGACCTAGTGTTACAAAGGCACTGAAACTGCAGGCCCTTCTTTGCCTCCCTTAAGTTTCAAGTTAATTATATATTACTTAAAATGCTTAATGGTGTGTGTGAAAGCAAGGGAAGGAAGGCGGGAAGGAAGGTAGTCAAAACCCACTGTAGTTATGTAAGCTGGTATATGCAAGATCTTGGTATAAAATGAATTTCAGTGTGGTTAACTGTTCAAGGTTCCAGAATCATTGTTATAAGAAAACTTTAGTCTTCTTACTTTTCTTCTACCTTGGACTCCCAAAACGTACTCAGGACTTCTCAGCCTTTTCAAAAACCTGATTCAGGAAGAACATTTTGGGGATCTGGAGTGGGGAGTAGTGGAAAACAATACCCTTCCACACTCCTGGAGTTTAAGGGTACAGTTAGAACAGCTTGTCATTCTGAAGAGGACGGTATCCACCAATAAAAAAAAAATGGAGTATAGGTGAAAAATGAAATAGGAAAACATACCTGTATTGTTACACATTCTTTTACAGTCAAACACCATCTACATTTCAGTGCCTTTCAGCTCCGTCCCCCTACCTTCCCTCCTACACACAAGCACACGTGCCCTCGAACACACATACACACACACACTTCTGTCTTCCAAGAGATACGTCTAAATATCCAGGTGGCCAGAGATGTTAGATATATTTTCCTACCTCTTTTGTTTCCTTGATTTAAAAGCAAGTTAACAGAGCCTATGCAACTATTGGCTCATTAAATCTGAGGAGTGGAGCATCTTCCTAGGTGGGAGAATGGGAGGAGGAGGAGGAGGCTGAAGATTATTTACCGGTGTCGTTTGCGCAGCGGATCCTCTTCATTGGATTGCTTGTACTGCCTCCAGAGGAAGTGGGACCGCTCTGAGGCAGGGCTATAAATGAGAAGGGAAGGCGAATTCATCCCACACAGGCACTCCAAGATGCTTTACTAAAAGGTAAAGTGCATCTTTTTTGGAGGGCATTGGAAAGGGGGAGAAACCAGCAGGAGAAAATTCCTAAAGAGTAACCACGAGCATTTCTGCTTCTTGGGACACTCAACTCAAGCTTCCACTCAGTCCACTCGGAACCAGGTGAGCTGCCCACCACTTCCCCCTCGTTTGCAGGAGCTACTCCCTCCATGAACATGCCAAGAGCTGAGCGCCTTTGCGCTACTCCGCAGCGCAGCCTCCGGGGATCTGACGGGGAAGACGGTGAGATAGATGTATTGGGAGAGGAGGAAGATGAAGAGGCGAATGGGAGAGAGGAAGACAGGAACGCCAGCGGGAGCCAGCAGTTTCTAGAGCAGCTGCACCAGTCCGGGCCACAGGGGGCGCGGCGGGTAGCGGGTGCGTTTCCCCAAAAGTGCACCCGGAGCGAAGGCCCGAGCGACTCTTTGGAGTTTGGTACCAAGTTCAGCCTAACTGCAGAATCTGCGGCGGCCTCTCGTGAAGTCCCTCAGCCGGTGAAGCCCCCCTACTCTTATATCGCGCTCATCACTATGGCCATCCTGCAGAGTCCGCACAAGCGCCTCACGCTCAGTGGCATCTGCGCCTTCATCAGCGGCCGCTTCCCCTATTACCGCCGCAAGTTCCCGGCCTGGCAGAACAGCATCCGCCACAACCTGTCGCTCAACGACTGCTTCGTGAAGATCCCCCGCGAGCCGGGACACCCCGGCAAGGGCAACTATTGGAGCCTGGACCCTGCTTCCCAGGACATGTTCGACAACGGCAGCTTCCTTAGGCGCAGGAAGCGCTTCAAGCGGCACCACCCGCTGCCTGAAGCCCAGTTGCATCATCCTTTCCCCCTGCCCGCTGCGCCCACTGCCCTGAACGGCCCATACCCAAGCTTGCTGCTCGGGCCCCCGGCGCAGCAGCATCCTCTTCCTGGGACCTATTTTTCAGCGGCTGCCGGAGGCCACGCTTGTACGCTGCTACACCCTCATCCCCTTCGCTACATACTACTCTCCACTCCTGCCTACGCTGAAGCGCTGGAGAAAGCGCAACTGGTAGACCTGGCAGTCCCGGGCGCCGTCCCAGTGCTGCAGCCTTCTCTGAGCCCCCTGCCTTGGGAGGAGAGCAAGGGACCAGCGTCCCCGCCGGGAGGCAGATGCACATCCTTCAGCATCGAAAGCATCATGCAAGGGGTCAGGAGGGGCGCAACAGGGGCTGCGCAGAATATGCAGCCCGCGCCGACGCCGTGGAGCTACTGCCACCTGCTCCAGTACCCCTCATGCCTGTTGCATGCCCAGCCCAATGCCCCCTTGCTTCATGTTTCCGCTGCAGCTGCTGCTCGAACAATTTTGCAGCAGCAGCAGCAGCAGCAGCAGCAGCAGCAGCAGCAGCAGCAGCAGCAGCAGCAGCAGCAGCAGCAGCAGCAGCAGCAGCAGCAGCAGCAAAACTGTGCCAGCGGCTGCCCTCCCAGTAAGGGCCCTTTGTTGGGCCAGCACCTGTGTGCAGCTGCGAAGCTGCTAGGGTGTCAACCCAGAGTAGAGAGCTCTAGGCTGACATCACTAGTCAGTTTTTTGGGCAGAGAAGGGACCTCATCGGCCATTTGAATAGCAACCGCACCTACTTGGCTGGATGCATTTGGAGCCTAGCTGGAGGGCTGAGCAAACCAGGTCCCACAGGCTGGGTGGTGAACTTGCGCTCACACTCACCACCAGGCGCAGTGGAACTAATCTTGTGTAAAGGAATCCCTGCTTGGAGCAACCACGGATCTGGGCTCACTGCAATATATTTAAAAAGTTTCCTCAAGACAACTTGAACCAAGTAAACTTCCAGATGGCATTAAGTCCCATGTTTGCTTTTCCAGACCCCAGTTGTAGCTTCCAAGTGTTTCCCAATTTGCACATTTACATAGGAATTTTAGACATGACCAGTGCGTTTTGTTCTGGTACTCAAAAGAAAATACAAAAACAAAGAAAATCCAGTGCACAACATACTCCTCCTTCACTCTCTAGGAAATGTAAGTATTAGTACAAAGTCAAGTGCAGAGAGCTATATGCCCTTTGTATCATCCTGAAATGGATATGTAATATAAGGATAATTTTAATTTCAGAGCATGGGTGGGGGAAGATGAATATACCATCTTCCATGGAGATGTGTTAAAATTAAACTTAGCTGTGTGGATTAAATAAAATACTAAATCACTATGTATATTGTATATTCTGTTACTTCTCCTTATTTGCTTTCTAAATGGCATTTCTTTTAAAACATTTCTTTGTCTCCAATTAAACAATTTCATTTTATAATTCATAAATAACCCATTTTCAAAATGACTTTTTAAAATAGTGTTTGACTAAAATATGCGATTTAGTATGTATGAAAATATGGGATTTCATGTGTATGAAAGCTACAAAAGGATTTGGAGGAAATGTAAATATGTTTTCCATCTTGCTAAAAACATAAATTTTCTCCTGAATAAGCTCAAGGATGATTTTGGATCAATTTGAAATGTAATGGCCAATATTTTCTTGGGAAAAACAAAGGCAATTTCTATTGTAATTCATCAGTTGGTAACTGTTAACAGCACTGTAAGGTTTTAGGAACAAAGGTTCATAATAAAAGTCAAGCCAAAAAGCATCAGAGTGTTCAAAAATAGGGCCCAGAGAAAAGGAAAAATTCAAACAGAATACCCAGGCTGGACATTTTTAATTTAAAAAATTTCTCTGGGCATGCCTTTAAGGACTCTTAATGTTTCTGTAGCTCAGGAAGAATGAGTTTGTTTTCAAGTGACTTAATTCCTGAAAGGACTTTACAATCACAAAGTTTTCATTATTATTTGGCTTTAAGTGAGCCCATAGGTGGGAAACAAGGCAAAGATACTCATCAGGAAATAGTTGCTTCAGAGAAAGCAGGTTTGTAGAGACCATGCACTGTTCCATGCACTGTTCCTATCCTGACTCCAGTTTCAATAGAATTTCATTAGATGATGCTGGAAAATATCACTGTGAATGTGAGAAGATCATTCCTGCTCATCTACATGCCAGCTGTGAATCTTTCAACTACAGGAGGGAAGGAAGAGACATACTTTTTTATATAAATAATATAATAATTTATTTTTACATCATTTTATGCATTTTTCCATCTCAGTTGTAATCCTGTGGGCTTCCCATCACCAAATCACCTGTGCACCATCACCATAGTCCAGTGCACTTCCTTCCCCCCACTGTTTTTGATCCTATTCCCCACTTCACCCTCATAAAATGTATATATATATATATATATATATATATAATATATTTAACAGCCCTTTAGTCCATTTTTTGCCCCAGCTTCTTATCACCCCATCACTGGAAACTTCTTTTGTTGTTGTTTCCTGCTCTGCTTGCGATTCCCACCTTCTCTCAGCTTGTTAAGTGGTTTCAGGTACATTCTGGGAAGTTCCCAAGCCAAATCTTTGGGAGCTTGGGTTATGCAGCTTCAGATTCTATATTGGGCTCTGCAGCCTTTTCTGCAGGGTGATTACCAAGGTAACCCATATCGGCCTTTATCCTCAAACAGGTAACCCAAAAGCGCCCTTTTTATCCTTCATCTACTTCCTTATAGGCTTTGGCCAATTGTGATCTCAGCTTGTCACTCTCAGCACCCGAACTTTAAGATCCTTTTGGCAAATTCTTCAGGTCTGAAGCAACCAAAAAAAAGTTTGGAAACAAGCTGAGAATAAAAGGATCCTACTGCGTGCCAAGATGTCTTTACATTCCAACTCTCCTTTGCTGGGGGTGGGGGTGGGGTGGGGGAGAGAACATCTCCAGGTCTGTATTCGTTCATTCAGTTAACAAGCATCATCTGAACGCGGGGTACAGAAGTTTGGGTTACTTGGCGCTTCGTGTTCACCTGTTCCGAAGAGCTGGACAGTGTGGACAAGTCCTGCTTTCAGATGAGGAAGCGTGAACTGCCCGATCCCACTCGCCAAAATGCTCCGCGCCTGGTGCTTATGTTTTTATAAACCCACCAATGACTAGGAACATTTGCCAAGCCCTTTTTCGTTCTGGTTTCAAGATCGCAGCTCTGGATGTCGTGCTGGTTCCAAATGGTTCTGCTAAGAGCGATTCTGGCTTTACTTGCCCGGTGACTGGCACCCCCCACCCCTGGGGCTTTGGAAAAAAACACAGGTTCTTTTTAAATTCCTAGGGAAGAGCAAGTCGGGTCCGCGGGAAGAGCAAGTCGGGTCCGCGTTAGAGAAGGGATGAGAACTGGGGGGCTCATCATCAGTCTTGGGGTTCCCCATCACAAAGCCAAACTAATCCGTGCCGGGAATTGCCGGGAGTGGTAGTGAGTAAATTAGGAGGGGTTGGGGAGAGGGCTTGAGTCAGCCAGAAGACTGGAGCTTTGTGCCAGGCACTGGGAGGCTCAGAGGCCAGGAGAGAGGGCAGGAGGAAAATATTGCAAAGCAGGGATCACTTTGATCCTGGCCACCAATAACACCATCAATAACAGCAATAAGTAACAGCGTCTAACCTTTATTTACTGTTCTCTGCCTGTCAGAATCTGGATTTCCCTCTTTAATCTTTCCAGCAATCAAGTAAGAAGACATATTGTTTTGGCGGTCGGAAGCCCCCATTTTACAGATTAAAAAAAAAAGCTATTTAGAGAAATTAGAAAACTCCCAAAAGGACCCTAAGGTGGTCCAGTCTGGTTTCTGGATAATCCCACGGTCGTCCGAGACTTGAGCCGGGGTTAGAAGGTGGCTGGAGTCCCACAATCTTCCTCTGGCCTCTGGCCCGGCTTCCGAACGTCAGGGAAAGCGGTGTTTGTTTGTTTCCCCCCCAAGAACAATGGTGAGTGAGCCTCTAGCCTGCCCTTCACCAGGAGGTGGTTCTGCTGGGCCACCAGTGGGAAGGTCAGGCGTGAGAAAGCCTCTTTCCGATTCACATGCCAACTACTAGACGACTTCCCTTAACCCGAGGTGTCCAGTGAAGAGTTATGAGATTCCTGAATACGTTCTTACTTAGCCGAATGATTACGTTCCGTTTCCCAACCCTACCCCTCCAAACCTCCACTTAACCTTAAGCTTCAGTGGTTTCGAACCCTTGTAGGCTGCAGGTTCCCAGCCACCCGCCCGCCCGGGGCTGTGGAGATCAGCAAGCTCCCGCAGTAACTCCTAGCGTCACCCCACACAGTACCGCCCCGCCCACCCCCTTCTCAACATTACCCTATACAGTTGCGGGACTGCCAGAATCCTTCTCCAGAATCTTGACCCTCGCTCCCCCTTCGCGCGGCGTACTGACTCCTTACGGTGTGAAAGGGTTGTGATGTGCGCAAAGAATTTGGGTGCACAGGCCCGGTGTAGGGGACCGCGAGGATGCGGAGGAATGGGGGGAACTAGGGGAAGAGTCAGCCAACATTTGACCTTCAGATCCGAAGGTCCACATTTGCAGGAACGGAGTGGGGGTGGAGGAGCCTGCACAGGAGAAAATTCTTCTGTGGATCCTACAGATTGGAGTCCCCCAAGCCTGGCCTAAAGTTTTAGAGCTAAGCTGCCTCGGGGTGATCAGCATACCCGTCCAGGTGCCCTCTCCCAGGGCAGGTTCTCAGCACCCTGCAGCTGTGTAAAGTGAGTATCTAAAATGTATGGTATATGCTTGTAAATGGTAATCTGACTTAGAAATCTCACCTCTCCTCTGCCTAAGTCCCTCCCCTCTCTATCATCTATCTGGCTAAATTTCTGTGTCTTACATTTCTACTCGGTTGAAATAACAGATCGCAGAAAAACGAGAGAAACAGCAGAAACCAGGAAATTGTGGAATAAAAACAGTGGTAAAAGCTATCAAGGTTGGGAGCTAAACAAAGTAAATTTTGTCTTCTGAGATTTACCATTCATCCTTCATCTGTATTGAAAGTGGGGGAACTCCTAACTCTCACTCCAAACATCATTTTGAAGTACTTCAAAAACGTTTCCCACTTTAACATCTGATTCCAGTCTAAACGGTAATCTTGCTCTCATTGCTAATGTCCCCTTACTGTGATCTCACAAAAATAGTTTATTATCTTCATGGCTTTTTTTCCCACATTGTACATTGAAGTTATTTAAATGGTTTTAAGTATTGTTTGATTGTATATCTATTGTGATATCTAAAGGTGGCAAAATTTGCTCCCTCCTACAAAAAAAAAAAAAAACTTCAAAAAATTAGGTGTAGGGAGAAAAAGGACTTGAGAATTAGTGTGACATTTTAATTCAACATTAATATCCTGCTAAATGCCTGCACATAATCAAGGCTTACATGTTACAACAAATGCCAATAAAAGAGATTTTCTTGTTTTTAGAAGGCCAGAAGCATGTTTATAGAAATCAGTAATTAAGAGTATTTTAGGATAGTTACTTATTCAACCAGTAAAGCAGTTTCTATTTTGAAACTGAGGCAAAGATAACAATGAGATCAAATTAAGCAAGAGATGTCCTTTTCTCAGATAATCTGTGTTATTTATAACTTATGAGACCAAAGTTTCTTAAAATTCAGGTGACTAATGGGGCCCTCCCTGGTGGCGCAGCGGGTTAAAGCACAGCACTTAAGAAGCTAAAGCCACTTTCACATGAGTTCAATCCCCCCCTTCCCCGGGGGAGGTGACCACATGGGAGGCAGACCTCTCCTGACCCACCCACTGCTCCCCTCAGCAGTGTACCTTGTCATTCGCCTGTTCTGCTCCCCACTCTGTCTCTGGTGAATCCTCTCACCACCCCTGCACCTCTGGCCCAGCTCTGTATGCATAAATAAATAAATCTTAAGAAAAAATCAGGTGACTATTATTATATCATCCAAGGTATCTGTCAGGTAAGATGAGATATTGTACAGGATTTCAAGCCATATTTATTTCTTGTTTTAATTTTTTTTTGAGATTTTCAAACATAGAAAGGTAGAGAGATTAGTACAGTTAAAATCCATGTTTACCTGGCACAGGTCAACTTGATTTCAACTTGACTTTCTGACTATCCTGTCCCCACCAGATTATTTTATTTATTTACTATATTTAAATTTTTTTTACATAGTCCTTCATTTTATGCATTTTTCATCTATCACACCAGATTATTTTAAATAAATTCCAAATAGCATTTCATCTATAGGTATTGTTGAACACTTCTCTAAAAGATAAGATTTGATTAATGTAATCAACCGCAGTATACCAGTATCACATGACTTATCCAGGCAATATTGAACTATTTTCAATGGTCTCAAGAACTTTCATTTCCTTAGTTGCTTTCAACTATAATAGAATGGCAAATAAAAGTCACAAATTAGATTGGCTCTTACAGACTCATAGTTTTCCTCAATCCTCATTTACTTCATTGTATTATTGTTGTTGAAGAAGCCGAACTATCCTGAATAACTTGACATAATTTTGGATCTTTTAATATTTTTATGGTAAAGTATTCCAAGGGATATGGTTAATTGCTTAGACCTTTGAATATTAGCAAATAACATTCTTTGTAGAGGGTCACAAGGTAGTCAAATAACTTGAAGGTTAAAAATTTTTTTATTAAGACAATGAGTGTGGGAAAACTCAAATTCTCCTAAATATAACATTTCCTTACAATGTTAAAAAAGAGGTTATTATTTCTATAAAGTAATTCATCACAAAGTATAAATCTATTTAAATTTAATTCCAATCTTCATTTGGCATGAATTACGCTTTTTTTGTCTTTAACGCTTTAAGTGAAGTAAAAAAGGCATTTTATGTTTCAAATTTTTATGTTTTATATTGTTTTGTATTTTAGAATAAGAAGTTGTAATATTCAGTGAAGGTCAGAAGTAAGGCAAAGCATAAATTTTGTGCTAATGAGAAGAAAGTCTATTTTTTTTTTGATTGACTAAATTAAAGGAACTGAGGGTATGGAGAAAAAGATTGAACAGAAAAAAAGTTCACTTGAATGGAATAAATAAGTTTAATAAGATTGAAAGAAAACATATAATGTCAAAAAATAAAATGTTCTTGAGGCAAGAATAATGGGTGTTTGGGATCTTTAGGGTACTTGACATTAACCTAAAAATTCAGGAAGCAGTTAAAAAGACAAAGCAAGTTTAATTGGGATCAAAGAACTTCAATTTGGAGTGCAAAGATTCAGGTAAAAAGTCTAGAGTGTACCCTTAAAAAGGACTAAGTCAGATGTTTTTATGAGAAGAAAAAATGGATGAGGTAAGTGGTTGAAGGAAATAGTTGATTTATGCTAAGGCTTAAGCTATTCTTGGCTATACATAATTAGTTACTGATTCTTTAGAAAAGCTAGAAAAAGAATGGACTGATTCTACCCTCCAGCTAAAAGCATACAATCATCAATTCTCAAATAGTTGTGTGTTAGATGGCTTCTTAGAACAATTGCTTTTGTTTGAGTTCAAAAGTCCATTTCTAACAAAGCAGATAACACAAGTTCTTCATAGTGGTTCCCAAATTCCATTTTAAAATGCCTTCACAAATGTTAACTTTTCACACTGGGGTCAGTATAGCTCAAAATCAAAGGAAGAATTTGGGAGAGGGGTGTAAAAGGTAAGAGGCATTGGTGTAGTGTGTCATTGCTCTGTACCTCTCCTTTACTTCCCTGACCAGTTCTTTAATAAAAGGGCCTGCATTCCCTGGACGATTTTACTTCAGTACTCCTGCATACATTTGTGTGTGTGTGATGCCCAGAACCACATCTCCTGAACTGCTCACTTTCCCTGCACAGGTTACAGATAAAGGTTGGCCAACAAATGCAATTACAAAGGAAATGGGAAGTGGTGAAGCAGCAGCCACGAGTCTCTGGAATTCCTGTTTTGTGGATTCTAGTCAGTAGCAGGTCCCCACTGCTCCTCTTTCTCCTGCCTGATCTCATCTGGCAGTTACTTCCTGTCCCACATGAACATGCAACTCTGTGGCAGAATGCCAGTGTCTATAGTTCATTCTCATCCAGGAGATTGGAGGTGGTGAAGCTAGACCTGGGTTCTAGCTGTTTTCTTGGGTTCCGTCAATTGTGATGGGTTCCAGTTTGTCTGTGATTTTACCCATTTCACGTGCAACTTTGTTTTTTTGACTCACTGCCCAGATGACCTGCAATAACTATCTGTTACTACCAGCATTAGACTTTGTCACAGCTCTTATAGCTCTGTAAAATCTAAGCCTAATAAGACTCTCATTGCATATTACTTAAAATGATTCTGTTTCTTTGACAGACTCCCAGGTGCCTTGGCACCTTCCCTCTAAGGTTATAAACTCCTTGAGGGAATGGACAATGTAGTACTTTTTTTTTCTAGAGTGTAGAGTAGGGGTCAGTACAATTTTATTTTAGACTATGGGCCACATACAGCCTGTATGAATATATCTGTATTTCTACTCTCTTGCTTCTTCTTCTGGTTTTGTTCTTGTTCTTCATACTTTTCTCCGTTCCCCCATTCTTCTCCTCCCTTCTATTTCTTCCTTTCTCCTTTCTTTGATTGTTCTCTCTCCTTCTCTTTACCATATTTCTTAAAATGCAAATCCATTCTCAGCTCATAGGCACACAGGGGCAGGTCAGAGTTTGCTAATTCCTTGTCTATTCTAGACTAATGGTTCTCAAAGAAATGACCGAAGTGAGTAATTTCTGACTTGGGGGCACAATAACAGGGAGCAGTTACTGAAATTTACTGGGCATGGTTTGGTTTTGATGAACTTTTTTTTTTTTTAAGAAAAACATTTATTTATGTATCCAAGAATTGGGTTGCAGGCCAAAGGTGTGGGGGATAAGAGGATTCACCAGAGACAGAGTGGGGAGCTGAACAGGTGAATCGATTTAAATACACTATTGAGGGGAGCAGTGGGGGAGACAAGAGAGAACTGCTGCACCATGTGGGTCAGCTCCCAGCCCAAAGATCAAACTCCTGGTGCAGTGGCTGCCAATAGCTTCATTGTGCCGAGACTTAATCCCTTGCACCACCAGGGAGGCCCCTGCTGAAATTCCTTAAATATACCAGACAGCTACATCTAAGCAAGAAAACCATATATGTTATTTCAGTTTGAATCACCAGCACACTTTCTTGCAGTGCTCTGCACCTGTCACTTCTGTAGTGATCTATATGCTTACAGGTAAGCATCTGACTAGTTCTGTCTCCTAGGTGAGTCTTAATGAGCATTTTGAAAAAATATCAACCTTTATTTCTATAAGTACTTTTTTTTTTTTTTTTGGATCTTCTTTCTCCCCCAGGGACTTCAAATACACATAGATTGGGCTGCTTAAAGTTGTCCCACTGTTCACTGATGGGCTGGTTTCCTCCACCCCCATTATTTTCTTCTATTTGATTTAGGATAATTTCTATGGCTATGTTTTTAAATGTATTTATATTTTGTAATATCTAATCTTCTGTTTATCCCACCCAGTGTGCTTTTCATTGTACATATTATAATGTTCAGGTATAAAAGTTCAATTTGGGTCTCTGTATCTTCTGTGTTCTAGTTAAAATGCTCGTTTTACCTTCTGGAACATAGGGAACACTTTTACAATAACTTCAAATGTACTACT